TTTAAAAAAAATCAGAAGCTCAGCTTCTGAGTATGTCATACACACCACTTAAACAGGGTCATAAATTTAATCTCACCAGGGAAGACCTGGCTTTTTCAATGCTACACTCAGCCTAAACAAATCCTCTGCCCTGTAAATATTTCTCGCCTCCTGTGTTTCCACACCCTGAAGTGTAATCTAGTCCAGCACATTTTCCTTACCTTCCTGCTTTCTCTGTGTTGCACGTAAACGGGCTTTAAATATATAAATAATGGCATGTAAATGGCTTTAAATATTTCTTCATTCTACCAAAGGCTTTTATCCAAGTTTTGAGTCTTAGGCAACTATATAAAATGTGTTCCTGTGTGAAATCTCACTTGTGCGCTGCTAAATGACCCCGCAATCTGTACTAACTTGAGCTCGTATTCACACATTCTGCATGCCGCAGAGCTATAAATGACTGAGCATGACTAAGTCTGCTTAAAAATCCCTTTTTCTCTATTACACAGATGGACTGGGTGGTTGGAGTACATCGGGGTGTGAAATGGAATATACAGATATGAATTACACAATCTGTTTTTGTAACCATCTTACCCATTTTGGAGTCTTACTGGTAAGTACTCTGTGAATCATCTCCAAAAAAAGTCCTGTGGCACTAAACAAAGTCATCGCTAGTTTTTGGGAGAGATGGGAGATTCGTATCTATACAACCTGTTAGATACGTGCAATTTTGCCAAAATCACTAATAACAAACAAAACTGTTATAATAATTTTTACGGTATAAAGTCCTCTAAATGTCACTTGCTTCAAGGCAAATTCATTTTACAGATGTAGTTTGTACTTCTTTGCAATGTAACTTAATCAACATTAATGTGTTATTATTTGCTGTGTTGGAAATACTGTGTTAAATTTATTACCTGCCAGGGGCAACTAATGGCCTTACATCTATGCTCCATCAGAAAGGGAAGTTTAATATACATATGGGAGATGTCATTAACTATCATCTCTTATTTCTCTGTAATACAGAGAAAACTGCCTCTAAAAGTTGAATATCTAAAAAGGAGATGACTGCCTGAGAATGGGCTGCAAAAAATGCAAAGTGATAGGGAAGTTCAAAGCAAGCTGAGTAGCTTAAAGTTGTCTAATCCAAGTAGGAGACAACCTACACGATGGGGTAAGGCCATCCCTTTGCCTTCGGACGCTTGTCCAGCTTCCCCTAGAGGTCACCATTGCCCTGCTCCTAGAGACACGAAAGCCCTCCCTGGTAGTAAAAATGTGAATAAGGAAAATAGATGTTACAGATTTCAGACAACTTGCTAAAGTTTCCATTCAAACAAAGAGAATTCAGTCTGATTTTAAGATCACACCTCTTCTGCACTGCCACTTCAGTAATCAGCACAGTTACCAGTATTCAACAGCACCGTCGATTTTACATCAGAGATGTAGGTTACTTGTATGAGGTTCAAAGTTTCACCAAATAAAAGAGAACCTATGGCAGGGAATAACAAAATCCTCTCCATATGGCTCCTGGCAGCAGCTGTGGAGAAGCAGGGCCCAGCTTCACAGCTGATTTTTGCAGAGGGATGCTTTCTGGATGTGGAGGCCTCTCCCACACTCCAAGACATTTAGCAGGTTTGTGCAGTTTCCAAGCATGGCAGCTGCCATTGTAACAAAGGAGAGTTTCTCCTACGAAGACAGCTCCCAGTGGAATAATTTTGGCAAGATCCTGGAATCCTTGTTGAATCTGTGGTTTCTGAAATACATCTTTTCTAGCTTCACAACATATTACTGGATACTTTAAATACTGGATATTTTTACTAGTTTGGATATTCTGTAGGACTATACAATGAGAAACACATAAAAATACTAATGGAAACCCTTCAAAAGTAGCATTAAGCAGAACAGAAATCGATTTCTTTATCAATGTGAAAATGTCGGAAGCAATTTTCTTTGTCTGTTATGGCAAACAACTGTGATTCTTTATCTTGTAACATAGGATTTGTCCCGGACAAAGATAGATATCACACATGATCGTGTATTAACTCTGATAAGCTATGCAGGATGTGGTGCTTCTTCCCTTTTTTTGGGTATAACACTGGTGACATATCTAGCCCTCGAGTAAGTCTGATCCTTTTTCTTATTGCTTTTAATATTTTAGCAATAATGAATTTGCAGCAACTATCAGAATGTTTGGCAACATTTGGTGCTGTGGTGCATAGGAGGGAAGACTGAGAGCTGACAATATAAATATTGCTTTATTTTGACCCGTGACTGTGGTGAAATAGAAGGGATTCAAATATTTATGCTTCAATACAAGCACTAGTCTGAACTGCTAAGCAACTTCTGTGTTCCTAAATTTCTGTCATTTCATAAATTTACCTATGGACATGGGTAAGATATCATGTCAAGAATCTGGAATATTCCCTGTATATAGACTGTAGTTACATGATATCAACAAGAAAATTGGGAAACTTTTCTCTTCTCTTGCTATTGGTCTTTCATTTTATACTGTATGTGCCAGTAGTTCCAGGCACAATGAGGCCCTAGACTTAGGTAACTGCGGGTGCTTTCATGATCCAGTAATATTGCAATAACAATATTTGATGCGGTAGTAAAAAGATGATGTTGTCTGTCTCTCCTCCACCAAGTGTGAAAAAGCAGGTTATCATGTATAGAGAAGCTCTGCTTTTTCAGGCTGGGAAATCTGCTTCAAAAACACACTAGTGAGGTGATAGGAAATGCCAATGTAGACACAAGTTATACCACAAGAAGCCAAAATATACATTTGTGCTACTTTGCATTAGTGAATGCTCCCAGCAAACTCATGCAATGACAACCTTGTGGACTTTCCCTTTCTTTTTAGAAAGCTGCGGAGAAACAACCCTTCAAAAATCCTGCTCAATCTTTGTGCTGCACTGCTGATGCTGAACATGGTCTTCCTCACCAACTCCTGGGTGTCCTCATTCAACCAGCCAGGTCTCTGTATCACCGTGGCTGTTCTCCTTCATTATTTCCTTCTTGCAGCTTTCACATGGATGTGCCTGGAGTCTGTTCACTTTTACTTGGCTCTTGTCAAAGTTTTCAATGTTTATGTCCCAAAGTACATTCTAAAATGCTGTATTGTTGGCTGGGGTAAGTAAGTGTATTTCTTCTCCACTTCAGTGCTTGTTAACTTCTCTAAGATAGGGGCATATTTGCAAAAGTAAGTTAGGTCACTGAGCTAGTAGAAATGTGGTGCACACCCTGAGCTGTAAGGATGGACTTCTTCCCCCAGGCAGGTTCAGCTTAAGTTTCTTCTCCCCAGGGAGACATTAGCAGAAAGTGCCTGTTGCTCCCTGCAGAGAGCTATATTCAAGGAAAGGCAAAAGTGGGCGTAAGGAACTGCTTTTCTTACCCCTCCTGCTCTTTACAGGAATGATTTATCATGGTACCTCATGTCAGTGGGTGTGCCTGAGGAAGTATGAGCTGTCCATAGCCTTCGCCCCTGCGCTGGTGATGCTCAGAGGTGATTTTGATCTCCTTCTCCATTACTTGTGTCCTTACCTGCCGTTCAATGCAGGATTCCTTTGCAGCGAGTGGATTTGGCTTTCATTCATACCTCTCCTGAGGATTTCACTAATTCACTTTTCCTCCAAGCACTGAGCATCAGAGACTTGTTTGGGAGAAACATAACAAAAAGTTCCAAAATCCTGGCTCAGCTGTCAGAAAGGGTGTTGTCAGAGGCCCTGACCCAGAGCGGAATTTGGTCTGTATTTTTGGGGTCACCATTAGATGCTGTTTTTTAAAGGGTTTTTTTAGGCTTTTGAATATTGTGCAGCATATCATCATCTCTATCCTTAGATCTGATGTCACACACAACTGTACTCAGGGGCAGCCATCCATGGTGGTGGTGTTGGCGGCAGCCGTTCTCAACAGAAAAGCCAGAACTGAAAGAAATACGGGAAATGGGAAATGAGTGGAAGGGAAGACTGATAAAACACTGTCTGGAAAATGTCTGTCTCTATCAGATCTTAACACAAAATGCTGTGGTCTGTTTGTCTTTTGACACAGTGCTTTTTGTAATAATCTGTTGGTTTTATTTTACCAGATTGGATCCCTTCTGGAGATGTTTGAACACTCTCAAACATTTTGCAAACACAGATATTTTTATGCCTATTTATTTGTAATTTACATAAATAAGGAGATTAAACCTGCTATGCCACATATTTAATTACACTCATTTCAGGAGCTTTAGGGGTAGAGTTTGATCCTAAGATGTACATGCCTGCTGTAATTACTTATCAGAGATTATCTGACATCTTTCCACATTACCTATTTTTTCTTTCTAATTTAAGTATCTCTTTTTCTCCTGCCTTCCATATTAGGAATGCCAGCTATTGTAATTACTATTGTGCTCATTATAAATAAAGACTTCTATGGCAATGGATCATATTCTGAGAGCAATCCATTCAGCGATTTGTAAGTACAATGCTTTAAACTTTTGATGGTCACCAGAGTATCTTAAAGATACAAGAAATCACCAGAAGGCAACAACTTCTCTCTTCCTTTTGTTTTTTCTCCACCATCTTAATCCCCTCCTTTTAGTGGTTCTGGTTCATTGGATCATTTTGGATGTATGGCTACTACATGGTGTAACTCTCACACCAGTGGACTGGGCTTGAGGACAAGGAGAGCTTCTGTCAGTCAACTCCGCTTTTACTTTCTGGAAAAATCTTTACATGATGTTAACTCAGTCTCATGGGACATTTGTATATGCTCCTGCATGTTCTAGATTTCCAGTAAAACCTGAAGGCAGAATAATTGCTCTAGTATTTTGCACTTTTGCTTCTGGGTTTTTTAATGTCAGTTCACATCGCTGTCTCTTCATCATTTCAAATTCTTTTATTTAAATCATCTCAACCTCCTCTCTTTTCCAGTGGGAAAACACTGCATTCTTTCATCCTTTTTTTAAAAGGTTTTTATAGCAAAGAATACTTCCATTTTTTCACCTGCTTTCTGTATAGCACAATCTGATCACTTGTTGGTGAAGGTTACCTGGAATATTTGAATCTACCCCATCAGAAAGGCAACACCCACCCATGACACCTCAGAGGAAAAAGTGTTACCCATCTTCAGCAAAAAAAGGCAGTAAAACTCACTAATTTATGTCTGATGAAAAGTTAACCAGTGCTCGTCTCTGTACTATACTATTATTCAGACTCCTAATTCATTTGATTTAATTTGTTTTTCTTAAGGCAGTGTGTCTTTGTGTGTATACATTATGAAGTTGTGAAACAATTATCAGGTTTCTCTGAATTTGGCAGAAATTAAATTCAAGTCTCGAAGTTATTTGTTTTCTGCAACATCCATAAAAAAGGCAAGTGGAGAGATTCCATGAATGTCCTCGTTGGGGGAAAGTAATGGGCATTAGGGAATGCCCCTTACTAGGTATCAAAGAACCATATGGGATACTTATTTTGGAAACCAGGCTTCACAAAACTCCTTATTGAATACATATCTGCCTTTCTTGCAGTTGCTGGATTCAGGGGAACACAGTGTTTTACATCTCCGTTGTGGCCTATGTCTTCTTAATATTTTTGACAAATACAGCCATGTTCATCACTGTTCTCCTTCAAATCCACTCCATGAAATCACGGACAGAAAGCAGATCCAGATTCTGGAAACAGGGTTTTCTCCAAGACCTCAAAAGTGCTTTCAGCTTGATGTTCCTTTTGGGCTTAACTTGGGGTTTTGTCTTTTTTGCCTGGGGAGCAGTGAGGATATTTTTCTTGTATCTCTTCAGCATTTTTAACACCTTGCAAGGTAATTTCTGAATGGAATACTACTATAAATACAACAGTTTAGGGACGTGGAATAGAAATACATTTGTAACAACATGTAATTGAAGCATGGGGGAAGAGGAGTGCTCATATAGTTTTTGTGTTACGATGTTTAGCTATTTTAATAGGAAAGCTCCATTGCAGTGTCATGATAATGTTGTTTAGATAGCATTGCTCTGATAAATATACTATTAAAGTCATGAATTCATGCCTTTGAAACATGGGTCCCAATAAATGTATCATTTCAGGAGATAGCACAGTCCTTTTCATCTGGGCATAAAAATGGTTGATAGAATCTACAGTGACTTGCAGATTATTCTTATACCAAATCTGCAGAAAGCTCTTCCCATTACCTTTTCATATGCACAAAGGACTCAGTGCAATTCTGGGCCAACATGATGCTAGCTCTGGGGACCACCTGTCTGCCCATACAAAACATACTAGTGACAGAATGACATACAAAAAGTCCAGGAAAAGGACAGCAGGTTGGAGAATCCACCTGAAAACCTGTGAATTTATCTTCTTACTTCTTTAGGGTTCTTTATCTTTGTGTTTCACTGCCTAATGAAGGAAGAAGTAGTGAAGCAGTGCCGAGCACACTTTTGCTGGGGAAGATTTCGTCTGAGTAATTATTCTGGTAAGCATTGAGGGATTTTGTTTAGCTTGACTCCTAAGTCTTTGCCTGCTACTGATGTCACATTTGTTCTACGTTAATAAATAAAGCTCCCCTCAATACCCTTTCTGCATTGCATTGGATAATTGTTCTTTAATAGGTGTTTATCCTCTTCTATTAACTGCTTATATGATACGATGACGGGGTGACAGCATGCAGTAAAAAACGTAGATTTCCAAAAAAGATTTCAGCTTGGTCTCTAATTCTGTTCTTACATGCCATTCAGTGTTCCCTTATGTGAGCCATGTTTTTGGTAGCCTTCCAGTCTTCACAAAGCTGAGATTCAAAAATTTATGCAGGATATTGGACATACAGGTAGCTATTTTTTATGTGCAGAAGCTGGGTTTACTCAGCCTGGGAAGAAGAAGGGAGATGTCACTGCTGTCTTTGGCTATCTGAGGAGGCATGGTTATAGAGAAGAAATAGACCTCTCAGAGGTGCACAGCAAGAAGACAAGAGGCAATGGACACAAGTTGCAGCTATGGAAATTCCCATTATTTATAAGGAAACACATATTTTCACAATGAGGGTAGTTAAACAAGTGACAGTAGCCCAGAGACTGGTGGAGAGAGTCTCTGTCCTTGAAGAGTGAAAATTCAGCTGGACAGGTGCCAAACCAACCTGATGCAACTCCAGACAGGAGGTTGGAGTGAAGACACCCAAAGGTCCCTTCTAACCAAATTATTCTAAGTTTCTGCTGTCTACCAACTCAGCAAGCAATAACACAGGCTCTCTCTTATTCTGGGTTACCCCAGTGATGTTCATTTTTCACAGAAATGTGGAAGAATTTAATAGCTTCAGCACCTCTTTCTATCTACAGTGTATCAAAATTAGTTGACATTGTGAATGGATATTACAAAGGAGAAGCTAAATCCGTTGGTTTAATCTTTTCAGAAAACCAAACTAAAAATCCTGTATTAACACATATGTCCTGTACATAGCAGTCCTGTGCACTGTGTGCTCCTGAGGAATATGTAGCTCTCCATTTGCAGAGTAGCAAATTAAGTATTCTCGCTTGAGCATGAGCCAGCTTGATGCTGTATGATACAATAACGATAAGGCTGCCATTCCTCTCCTTTGTGTACCTCCTGTCTTCTTTCATAAGACCTTACCCAAATTGGTATTACTAGATTGGGTCCCTAAAAGGGAAATAGAAGACTGAATTGCTGGTATTTAGCCCCACCGGCACAAGTGTGACAGAGCTAGTGTAAAAATTAACAGCAG